AGCAACACGTGCCGTATGTGGTCTGGCATTGTCCTGCTGAAAAACCAGCCCAGGGCGCTGCAAAAGGAACGGTAGCAAAACAGATCTTAGGATGTCGTCGACGTATCGCTGTGCAGTAAGTGTACCTCTAACGACGACCAAAGGGGTCCAGCTGTCAAAGGAAATGGCACCCCAGACCATAATGCCTTGTTGAGGGCCGGTGTGGCGTGCAATAGTGAAGGCAGGCCCCTCTACCCTGTGCGTCTCGAAACACGTCTTCGATGATCGTCAGAACACAGTTGGAAGCGGGATTCGTGGCTAAAGACTAAACGTCCCCAGTCGGCACCATTCCAACCATATCTGTTCAAAACATTCATGCATACGAAATTTCAAAGCAATCGGATGATTGCTTCTTGGTGCGTCGATTTTTTTGTTATAGAGTGTATAAGAGAGAAACAAAACAAATCAAAATCTATAAAAAATTTGGCTTAAAAACATTATAATTTACCCTTTTGGGTTGCACAAACTTCGAACTCTAAAAAATTCTTAGTAAAACTGTACATAATTAAAATTATTTTCCTGAAAGTAAAATGTGAAAACTACATTAATAAGCAAGGCATAACACAGAGATTATACTGACGCTCATGCGCAGTAGGGCAATGGCATTCGCAATTTTAATCGACATTTTCTCACTGTGAGTTCCTAAATTAACTTTTTTAGATTTATTTAAAAAATTTAAAATCGCTTGTTAAATTTAAAAATGTGATCTTTAAATTACGATCCATCCACCGTAAGAAGACAATTGACCTTTGGAAAATTCCTTTCAACGAGAAGATTTATTGGGCCTTCGGAGTAATCTTTGGCACGAAACATTCTCTAATACTACCATTGCCTCTTTGATCTTTTGATTTCGTTTTAAAAGTAGCTCTCATTTTAACTAATAGATTCATACCATGTTTTTTCTTACAATCATCTTCTTACGGTGGACGAACAATCTGCAAATGCTTGCTAAACGGGGAGTGTAGATCCTGATTGAACAAGTGACTTTAAAGAAATGAAATATGAATTTTTGGGAGAGAAGTAAAAACGAAAAATCTAATTTTCAGTAAAATCAGGCTCATGTTTTGGTCTAGAAATAAGTTGTGACAGTAGGTAAAAATAAATAAAATATTGCTCAATCATTAGTTAATCGGTACGGTTTTCGGAAAAGTCTGATCCTTTGATTTTAAAAATAGAATATTTAAAATATTCTTTTTTGTTTTGTTTTGATTTTCGCATCCGGTCGTTTAAGCCTCATGTTAGAAGTTAAGTCTCTCTCTACTGGAGTGTTACTTTGATCGTCTTAAAACTTTACAAAAATATGAAACTTGTATTGTCAGTCGACTTCAAGATTGTTGAGCGTAAAATGAAATTTTGACACTTTCGCTAGTGAAAAAGTGGCCGAAATGTTTATTAAAAATCGAAGATTCCATCGTTACAAAAAAAAAGAAAATTAGATAATAAAAACGCAGAAAAAAACATTTCGACTGGAGCTCCAAACTTGATCACGAGTTTCCAGTAATTCCGCTGAGACCACTTCATCAAATTGCAATTCGAATCTCTATGGATGCAAAAACGATCTAGATATTTTGAAATTTTTTAGAAGATTCAAAATATTTTTCTCCATAATCAGATTTCGGTGATACATAATTTTTGTCCAAAAATGATGTCATTTACTTATTTCGCTTTTTATTTATTTTTCATCATTCATTGTTATTCTGTAACGCAGGAAAAATGTTGAACTTAAAATTTTTTCTTTAAGAATTTAAATGTTTTCACTTAAACGTCTTAAATTAAAATTATGCATTCAAATTTTACAAAATTTAATACCTATAGAAATAATGGAAAATTTAAAATACGGAAATGTTACAGGTATTTAGTTACACTCAATTCAACAAAATAATAAAAATTAATCAAAATATTAATATTTTGCTAAACTACGCATAAATAACGTTGAATATATATAGTTTTCATGCATTATAATTACAGTTTTGTTATCATACTTTAACTTGAAACAACAGCAGTTATAAAAACCCAAAGTGCTCTCTTGCGTTTTTTGTCTTTACAAGGTAAAAGGAATTGTTATCAATAATAAGTAAAATTCTTAACAATAATAAATTTAGGAGTAATTAAAATTGCAATATACGAAATAAAATAATTTTATTATCGAGTTACAAAAATAAAGAATTTTAAGAAAAAACAAGGAATTTTTTTCATAGAACAATTTAATGAATCAGAAAATGTAAGTTTTTCTCAAATGGCAGGGATACTTTATGGTACTGCTATTCCGTAAAATCACGAAATTTATAATCGATAAATGCCACCTGACACAGTAAAAGTCATAGTAAACATAGTCACAGTAAACATAATAGTTTAACCGTTATTTTTTAATTATGTTTCAGAAATTTTTATTTATATACTTAAATTCAATAACATTTAGTTTTTATCGAATGTTATCAGTTTTCTTTTTATTCTGACCACTTTTGCGCTGAATAACGACTTTTTTTTTGACAAATTAGCGAAAAATTTGTATAACATTAAATCAGGATTTTAAACTATCTCTTTTTGAAAATTTATTGACCGGTAGGATAGATAAGAGTAAACATGCACGCCTGATTGAAATTGTCCAGCCCGTGCATTTCAAGCAATTTTATTATTGAATTTATTAACTATGGTATATTGTAAACAGGAATTTCAAACGATACTTTTTATTAGTTAGTGTTACATTTAAAATGTTTCAGCAGAAATCACCAAAAATTAGCTGTATGACCAAAAATTAAAAAAAAAAAATCGAAGAAAAGCAAAAGAAGATTACTACGTTCTGTTTAATAAACCAGGATCTATTCCCTTCAAATTTAAAAACTAACTTAAAAGCTAGCAAATTTTTTTAAGAATCCTGTTTATTTTAATTAAGTGTTACTACGTACAAAAGTGTAAAGATAATTACTATGGAACTAATAAATAAATTAATTAAAATATTCATAACATTTTTGCTCTCTTACTTATAAATCTCTGGTTCAATAGATATAACCGAAACTCCCCAGACATTCATTTCTTGTCTCAAGCACTGTGTGAAACCTACGGCACCAAATTTGGCACAATACCATTCAACGGCACAATGGCACAATACCATTCTACCTGTGTAAAAAGATGTATATATAAACAGATTATATATATATATTTCCAAAATATATATGAAGTATTACGACCTTCATATCCATTCGGATTTTTTCAATTTCCCATTTTTATTTTTATTTTCTAACATACAGAACTAACTTACCAATAAGACTCGTGAAGTTAACTAGTCTTCCGTTTGATTGTCGCAGTAAAGGCAAAAATGCTTTGGTGATTCTTATATGACCATAAAGATTAACTTCTATATTGTCTTGAAAATCTTGCATAGGAGTTATTTCAATGGAGAATCCTTTAAGAATGCCTGCATTGTTGACAACTGCCCATAACTCTGAAAAAAATTAATACTTCTCCGAAATTTAATATCTTGAGGCAAAGTCAGTTTAAATCATCACATATAATTACGATAAATTTTAATTTTATCATTTTCGCATACTGTATACCGCATACTGTAAATATTTTTATAATGAACTTTTTCTTATTTTGATCTCGAAATAGATTCGACAAGATATTTTTATGCCATATCCAAAGAGGTTATTTGAATCATATTTCGTACCTCACTTGCAGTTTTTCATCTAATAAAAAATTCCGACGAACGGAGGCAAATCTAATTGTATTTTTATGCAACAAATCATTTAGAAAAGGCACAAAAACAGAGAGAAAATATTTTGAAATATTACGTAACAGACAAAATCGTTCCGAACTTTGTCCAATATATTAAACGCTGGGTTTGAAGATGTTTAAACGAATACTTATGAAGCAATATATTTTACTCATTTTATTAATGCAAATATATACTAAACAAATGAAAAAGGCATTAATTATTAAATGAAAATAAAAAAAAATTAAATAACACAGTGTAATACATTTAATCACAACTATGCGACCACTGACAAGTAATAAATATGAGTTTGTACATATGATATGAGTTTGTATATGTTTGTATAATACATATAATATGAGTTTGTACATATGAATTTGAATATTTAGGCACAATCGTAAATAATATTAAGGGGACCGATAAGTAATGTTTCTGCTCATTAAATATTCGTTAGTCTTAAAACCAATTAATGTTTTTCGATCCATTTCGATTCATTTTCGATCCGGCATTGAAAGATTCTTACTAACGAGGCTGAATACATTATTGATTAAAAATTAAATCTTGATAACAAATATTAAATGCACCGAAACGACATTATTTTCCGGTCCCTTTAATAATAATGACATAAAAATTGAAATCAAAAACTGAATCAACATGGCTAACAGTTGATATCATGGATTGAGAAATTAACAGTTTAAATCTATATGCATAAGTGGTGAAACAGAAATACAGTGGACAGAAGAGGCACTGTTCAGAACATAAACTGTTTTTTCAAATCTATATTCAAAAATTTTATAAATAATTTAATTTATAAATTAAAGAAATTTCAATTATGAATATCTTAGATCTAAATAACTGCAAATAATTACAAATTAAAAAAAAATAGTGATTTAAAGTAAGCAGTGCTTGGCAGATTTTACCTGTAACGCATAAAAAGGCAGCGGTGTTTATTACTGTATTTCATAACCATATTTTATTTAAATGCTAAATAAAATATTTTGCACTTGTATTGACATAAATTAATAATAAAAAAATTTGAAAAATATGTTCGTCAAATTTTTGTCAAAGGGTTAATCGGTTTAGCATTTGGCGAAACTCTTTCTTGTCTACATGAAGAATTTGATTTTATATAGTTGTATTTGAAATTATTCGGTTCTTATTTTATCTTAATATAATTTTTAGCACTATTAAAAAATCTTCTTTTGGTGCAAATATTGAGAATATTTATAAATTAAAAGAAATTGTTTTCAGCATTAAGTATGCAAAAAACTTTTAAAAATAAGTCATATCTTTTAAAAGTATTATTTCCTATAAAATGTCTTGAATTCGGGGAAAAAATCCCTATAGTTATAATAATTTTCATTGTATTGTGCAACAGAACGGTTGCCACACTGGTTTTATAACATTGCTGTTTTTGTACGAGATGTTCCAAGGTTCTCTTTGATGAATTCTAACGCCTCTTGAACACTTTCATCTTTTGTGATATTCATTCCTAAAACTTGCAAACGACAGGAACATTTATTCTTTAATTCTTCAACCCCTGGTCCAGTAGGAAATAGACAACTAGAAAACACGTGATAATCCAGAGAATCGAGGTGAATAGCTGTGGCATGACCGATTCCTCTATTACAACCTGAAACAAAAAACGAAAGTAGGGAATAACGTAGGCGTATATCGAAGCACTTTAAGTTCCACTGCACTTAAGTTATAAAATCATTATAGAACGATTTTGTTTTAGATAATTCGACATTATGCACACTTAAAAACATCCAAAATTTACGCGGAAATAAACGCAGGTTCTTAATTTAAAATTATGCTTTTTTTCTCACTGTTTTGCTGTTACATACGCATTCTTTAGTTGAAAAGTTTTCATTGTTTCATAAGTGCAATTAAGTTTCATTGATACTAAGATCAATTTGATCTTTGGAAATGCGAGTTCAAATAAATAAATAAATGAATGTATAGTTTAACAATGGGAAATACATGCTGATAATAAAGAAAAAGTTCATACTGCGTAAATGATATTATCTGGGATGCTAATTCCTATCATCGAAACAGTAAGCGACCAAAAGTCCCAAAATTGCTCAAAATTGTTAAATCAGAGAATCATTCCAATACTTCATTACCTGCTGTACTACTTCCTGTATTATGTCATCACCCACCTCTTGAGCCTTAGCTTGAGCATCGTAAATGCTATTGGTTGAAAATGGCAAGCTCAGTCACCAATAATTTGATATGACTGTAAAAAATTGCATACTCTACAATTCAGAAGTTTTTCAACTATTTTTAAATAAAATAATAAGTATTTATTAGAAATAAATTTTTGCTTGGGGTTATTTTTGAATAATCAAACTTTATAAATGCGGGCAAAAGTGTTTCAATTTGTTGAAAAAATTTCTCGAGATATTGCGAAATACTTGAAAAATAAAATTAACATTAAAGTGTCCAAACTTTGGATCACTTAAATCACTGGGATCATATTTCAAAGATTGCGGCTACTTTCTGTTTGTTGAAAGTCCGAAATCCAAATTCATCGAAAAAAGATATGTTTATTCAAAGAGAGAACGTTTTTGTGTCTGATTTGGTAATTTAAAATATCGTCTGTATTAATTAAATACCATATTTGAGCTCACCTTCTCGAACCAATACGATTGAATCCTTGATCGCGAAGATAGAATCATTAGATCAGAAGTTATTCAGGGAGATCCATTTTTCCGCACTGTATGTAAAATATTCACTATTGATGCAATGTTCTTTTCCATTTAACCCATTTGCGGCAAAATGTTCATCAACGCGCCATTTCAATAAATATTTTTTTATAAGCACTTTGACGTACATTTTTCAATAATTTTATTTTTCCGCTATTTTTAAGGGTTCTAAAAACTTCTATAAAATATTTGTATTCCAATTGGATTAAACATTTTCTATGGATAAATGTCCAAAATGCGCTAGTTTTTTTAAAAATTTGAAACGGTTATTAACAAAGTCGACTTTTTGAAAATTTCTAATTATTTCACTTGAGATGGATCATATGTTTTTATGATGGAATGAAGTTTCGAGAACTGTAAATAAAAAAATTAATAAAATGATCATAAATAATTTGATTATAAATAAATCAATGGTGCTTCATTGGTAAATAGTGCAATATACGCACCCATTTTATTTGAGTATTATTTTTCGTACACGAAACTATTTTTGTGTCTTTATGAATGTAACACAAATTTCAGTAAAAATATACAATATTTAAAGAAATTTTGTTGCTAGGCTTAAAATGAGTTAAATGAAATTAATACTGGCTTCTTTTTATTGAATTTTTGGACATCAGATTACCTTAAACCATGAACATACGGCAATTAAGCACGTTATGAAATTTGGACAATGCTTTTTATATTTCATGCGTGAGAAAATAGCATTTTTTGTGTAATAAAATATCAGAAAATTCTTAATTAATTGAAGAAATTATTCTAAAGATGGATAAATAAGTTTAAAGTATTTACTTTAATTATTTTTTTTTGTTAAAAGATAGCCGTTTCGAGCGTTGCATTTTTGGCCATTTTAAAAATCAGAACATTTAGCTGCTTTTCTAAAAAAATTTCTGTGTAATTGTCTATATTCCATTAACCAAAGATATTATCAAATAACCATCCTCTTTAAACTTCTTACTCGTATTTTTATTCGTAGACATCCAGGTGCTATTTAATAATGCTTTTATTGGCATTCTCACAATGCTTAATACTTACAATACAATAATACTTACATTGTCTCAGCTCAGCTGACATTTTGACGCAGATGGGTTGCCATTTTTTCTGACTTCAAGCAAAAAAATAATTTGGTATTTTTTATTTTGAAAAACAGTCTATAGTTATTAAAAAAATCTGTTAGATTATCGGAATGATACTTGTACTAAAATATAAAATCAAAACAAAGTAGTTTCAAATTTTTGTTTCTTCATTCATGCTCAAAAATCAATCAGAAATTGATTATTTAAATTAAAGTAATGTCAAAGATGAATCACTGTTTTTTTTTAGATCTAAATAACCGTGAATAAGAGTAAATTTGAAAAATTATTGCTCGGGATTAAGCCGTGTTTGAATGTTTTTTACGTTTAACGTAGAACGAGAGACCGATATTTCATGTTGTGTTTTTAACCAAAAATTATTAATGTGCCAAATATAATATTTTTCACTTAATTTGATCTAAATAAACGCGTAATAATAAGAAAAAAGTATGAAAAATAAGTTTCATAAAAATTCTGTGACAAAGGGTTAACATCACAAATGTCCAAAATTGGCATTTTTATTTGAAAAAAAAAACTTTATATCATATAATTAATAACGGATTTCATTTATTCCAATTAAAAAGGGAATTGGGGATGAACTGAAACAGAAAAAAATTTAAAAAAATTTAAGAAAAAGTTATTTCTGATCCGAGAAAGAAAGAAGCAAAAGTCAAAATATGAATTACATGTTTATTTTAATTTATTATTAATTCGTTCCCCTACTTCATATTTATAAATTTTTTAAGGATTTATTAAATAAATAGTTTCCATAGATAAACAAATTTTTGTCTATTTCCACAGTTGAAAACAACCCGAAAAATCTCCTATTAATAGTAATTAAATTATTAAATTAACAATATTTAATCAAAATTATTATTAAAATAATAATTTCGTAAGCTGGTGTAGCGATACAATACAAATTTTAACTTTATAAATGTATGCAAAATTTTTTTAATTTGCTGAAAAAATTCTCGAGATACGGCGAAATATTTAAAAAGTAAAATTAACCTTAAAAGGTCAACACTTTTTACAGTTCAAATTATTGAGATCATATTTCGCAGATTGCCGTTACCCCTTAGAAATCAGAATTCATCGAAAAAAGGTATGTTTATTCAGAAAAAGAACTTTCTTGTGTCTGATTTGATAATTTTCAATATCACCTGTATTTATTAATTAGCATATTTGAGGTAACCTTCGTGAAGATCCAATCGTTCGATCAAAAGCTTTTCAGGGATGTCCATTTATTTCGCACTGTACACTAAATATTCAATAAATATTTTTTATAAGCACAGTGGAGTATATCTTTCAATAACTCTGTTTATCAGCTATTCCTCAGGGTTTTGTAGACTTCTATAAAATATTAGATAGAAGGAGATGAACTGAAACAGAAAAAATAATGTAAAACAATTAAAGAAGTTTAATTTCTGATCTGAGAAAGAAAGAGGCAAAAATAAAAATGTGAATGAAGTGTTTATTTTAGTTTATTATTATTTCTGTTTATTTTAGTTTATTATTATTTCATTCTTCGACTTCACATTTGTAAACTAATTAATTATTTATTAAATAATTAGTTTTCATAATATACAGGTTTTTTTAATTTTTAAATTGAAGAACCACACAGAACATCTCCTATTAATAATAATTTATTAAATAAATTATATTGAATTAAATAATTATTAAATTAATAATTTCATAAGCTGGTGTAGCGATTCAATACAAATTTTATGAGTGCAAGAAAATCCAGGATTTTGAAATTTAAATTTTCTTTTTATAAATGGATTTGGAAATTGCGTTTTTTTCATTTTCCTTCTATAAATTGTGTTACCTGTTCTTCTAATTGACAAAGACTTATAACACTTTCGTTTTATCTAACACACAAGCCTGCTTAACAACAAAAAAGAGAAAAAAAAACCAAACAAATTTATTTTTTAAATACGAAAAATTTCTAAGCACCTAGAGTTTTAAAATAATAAAAATAAAAATAATGCTGTTTTAAATTATCAAATTTAAGTCACTATGATTGAGTAGTTAACGAACTGTGTTACCTTATCTATGACAAAGGTTTAATCCTCAATGGCTGGTGGAAAAAATAATCACCATGAATAAATTTTGATCGAATGATCTATTTTTCATTTACTAGGACTCATCGTAATAGTTCAAAGAATTGACCTCAAGTATGCTAATTAGTTAGGGCAGACGAGGTTTTAAGTAAAGAAATCAGACACAAAAAAGCATGCTGTCACTGTGTAAACATACCTTATTTAATTATGAATTTCGACCATTAAAATATAGGGAGTCGCCGAAATCTGGGAAATTTGGTCCTAATAATTTGGTCAGAAAACGGTTGAAAGTTTGAACCCCTTTAACCAATTTCACTTTCTGCGTATTTTCCCTTATCCCATGAACATTTTAGCTTAATGAAAATTATTTTTTGCATACAATTATAAAATTCGATTATATTAAAATACTTCCAAAACAGAAAAATACTTGTTTATAATTCCTTTAATTCTTTACTTTTATTTATTAATACTCGAAGATTTTTCAATTGTACGATATAAAAATTTTTACATAATTTTAAAGAATGTCATTTTCTGCGTCAAAAGGCAAAATTTAAACGAACAGTTCCCAAAAAATTCCAAATAAAATACCAAAAAAGTTTTAAAAGAAAATATAATATTTTTTCTTAAAGAATATATTGAAAAAATTATGAAAAGAACAAATATTTATGAAATATTATAGTATTTCCCATTACGCTTTTAAAATCAAAATAAAATAACTAGTATCTTTAATAAAGAAATATCTTTTCCTAATAACAAATAACAAATTTTAAACGTTTATAGTTGTTCTTTCAAGTTTTCATTTCAAATAAACCATAATTAGTCTTATTTTAATAATTTTCAGCTTATGTATATGCACAAAAAACAATTTCATAACTAGACTATATATAGCAAAATGCCTGTCAATTCAGTTGTTTGACATTAAGCATCATATAAGATTATTAGTATTAAAACAATTAAAAATCTATATGCCTCTAATTGAATTCTTAAAAAAAAGCTTTTATAGATAAATAACTTTCACAATTACCTTAATAAACTTAATTAAAAAGTCGTTGTTCCGACGGAAGAAAATTGTTTATTTTGGAAAACGTAGCCGAAGAAAATTGATAACTACTGATTAAGATTGAGTCTTAGAAGGGGAAGATCGATTTGTTTGATCAAATGTCATTCAAAGTAATTCAACTTTTTTGCGCACCATGCAAATTGTACACGGAAAAAGAAAAGCATGAAAAGCATAAAAACTGTGTGGTATTTTGTAAATAGTAATGGTTAGCAATTAAAAAACAGCGTACTGAGATGTTAATGTTGTTTTAAGGAGGCACTATAGTCGCATGAAATTATGCTGATATGGCTTATATTTGCTGATATGGTATTTTCATTACTGATAACTATTTTCATAACTCTGTTATACTCATGACAGTCTGGTCAAATTAGCCTATCTTTAGCCAGCGTCCTCTATGTTTATTCTGGCAGTTAATATCGAGAAGGGATACAGTTTTGAGAAAATCAAAAGAGAGAAACTTACTCTAATGCTGTCTAATCTGGATACTAAAAATTTGCAAACAAATGTGAATAAGGGATCGATTCAACATAAAAAAATGTCACCAAATTGGTGATTTTTAAAAAAGTTTAATAACTTTAAAAATATTTCAGTTATTTGTCCGTTCTAAGGCAACTATAATTTTAAGTGTAAGTCACTTAAATTGAGCTTTTTTATTTTCCCTGGCGAAAGAGCTTCGAAAAGCATCGTTAATAAAAAAAATGAATATACTAGCCTGTGATTAAGACGGCTTTTCCATCAGATAGAACTCGATCATTTAACCATTTTTTTCTTGTAAATTGAAAAGTAAACCACCCTACCAGCGCAGTCGTTGCTAAGGTAACAACACAAGCTGTGAGGTCTGTTAAAAAATGAGGAGCAATGTAAAAAAACGTACGCAAAGCTAAAATCACGCCAGGGAAGTGCTCTAACACTATAAGACAGTACTGAGAATTCATATTTCAATACGAAACTAATTTTTAGTAAATGTCAAATGGAATTTGGTTTAAAATGTATGCATTGAAGCTGGTAATGATGAGTACTTCAACTCAGATGGAAAAGTTATATAGAGAACTAAACTCGGCTACAAAGATCAAAATCTTATCTAATATTGCGATAGAGAAGGGTTAAAGGCTTGTGGTATCGTCAAGACAATCTCTTTTTAAGTAAATACGTTTTTTTTTTTAAAAATTGATATTTGAAACAATAGAAAATGATTAAAAAATAAGTCACTGCCTTGTACCGTATCGCCTTCGTAAAAAAGTTGCTAGGAGAAAAAAAATTAGTGACATTTCTGGAGAAAAAAAAAACCTAATTCTAATTATTAAAACCAAAACATGTGGTATTTAACCTATTTTTTGGTAATTTTTCCTTTCTCAATTTTTTACTGGAAATTTTGGTTTTCAAAATTATATTTTGTATAATCACTTATTTAATAAAAAATATAAAACTGAAAAGCAAATTGAAGGAAATAAATTTGTTATCTGTGCCATGCTCTAAGATATCATGATAAAGTTACAAAATTTTACCCCGTTTTCACCAGATTTTTAATTCTGAATAGTAAAAAATGGGGGAATGAGAAATGCAATTTTCGTTTTTCGATGCAGAGTGACGAAAATTAGCATTTAAACTCATTCAATGTTCAGTAAGGTAATTAATTTATAAGAACTTGCTTTTCAAGCGTAAAATATGCTCTTTTAGTTTTAATTAGTCTTTTTAGTTACTAGTTACTATACATTAGAATATTACTGTAAACAATAAGTTATAAATTTTCTAGATTTAATTTGAATGTTCTTGAAATAAGATATTTATAATCCATACTTGTGTAAATTTCTTTGATTTATTATTTTTATTTAATTAAGCTAATGTTGCATTCTATTTAAAAATTTAACTTAACTTAAACTT